ATATCATTTACAAAAAATCAAAACCAAAAAAAAAAAAAGTTAATGGAATTTAAAAAAAAAAAAAAAAAAAAAAAAAAAAAAAAAAAAATAAAACATTTTTATCTTTAAAAACTATTTAATATTATTTCATTATAAAAATATCTTAAATTATTTTCATTAAAAACTCTTTTAATTTTAATATAAAACTTAGTCTACTCGACATTTCGACTTATAATTTATAAAAACTTGATAGTTTTTATAAATAATATTACAATATCAGACTTTATTCTATCTGCTAATTATTATTTTTTTTAACAATAAAAGAATGTGTACTATAATAAAATTTCCTTCTAACATTTTACTTAGAGGTTGAAAAGCAGTTATCATAGTAATAATAAATTATTTGAGTTAATTATTGCACCTTTCAAAATTATTAATATTACATAGATAATCTGTAATACTAGCTTCCAAAATTATATATATATTTTCAAAGATATACTATATATCATACAAATTTTTAAGGAAAAAACAGTTAAAACTAGCATTTAAAAATTTCTACAACTAAAAAGTTGTTTATATGCAGTTTCCATTACAAAATTATGTATATATTTTAGTTATAATGCAATCAAATTTCTTTGATTCTTTATTAAATTACAGGCTTGCAACAAAATTTTCATTTTATATAAATTATTTATAATAATTTAATTTGGTTTAACCAAAACAATTATGTAATTTTTAATATATGATTTTATGATCAAAACAATGCGATATGTTAGTTTAATATGAAAACTAGCAATATCTAAAAAAAAAAGTATGATAATTTTAAAAATGTGTTTTCTGTTACCATATATCAACTTTATTAGTATGTAAAATTTTTTTCTATTAGTTATCAATTGGTTTAAAATTTTGGATTTTATGATTCTAGGTAGATAATATATAAATAATAAAATATTACTAATTAAATCTACTATTCTGTTTTTATTTTACTAATTTTTTTTTAAACAATAGTAAGTATTTTGTATTATCTGATTATCAATAACAAATAATATTGAATCATTACTATTATGTAATTATTAATAATTCAATATTCTTTGTCAAGTATAAATAAGTCTAGTTTTCATATATTTGAGTTAAATAATGACAATAACAATATATTGTAGAGCACAAGAAATTCAAAAAAAATACGAGATTTTATCTAAAAAATTGAGAAGGTAGAATAACTAAGAAAAGATAACAAGTATCAGAATACCTGGTAATAACAGATTATATTCTGTAGCAGATGTAGAGAAAATATTTGAAAACTAGGAACGAATAAATAAAAAGAAAAAGATTTGTTATGCAAGAGTTAGCTCAGAGAAGCAAAAAGAAGATCTCAACAGACAGTGTGAATATCTCAAACAGAAATATCCAGAACGCAAGCATATCAAGAATATTAGATCAGGTCTTAATTAGAAATATAAAGGTTTTATATCTATTTTGGAATAGTTATACCAAGAAGATATCAAAGAAATTGTAGTTATTCACAAGAACTGGCTTTGCCAATTTGCTTATGAACTCATCGAATAGATCTTTGATAAAAATGATACAAAAATTATGATACTCAGTTCAGATATCAACTTTATGACACTGAATCTAGTGAGCTTGCTAAGAATCTATTATAGATTATTACTATTTTTACTGCAAAACACAATGAACTCAGATCAGCTGAGAACTGAATATAACAAAGAGAAATTGAAAACATAAAAGATATGGATGTACCCAACATCCAAAGAAAGAGAAAAGTTAAAAAGGTAAATGGAAACCATGAGGTAGATGTATAATCATATATTAAACATGATTCAAGATGATGGTATAGTAAATCAACAGGTCATATATAAACAATGTTTGAATGATGAATATTTCAAACGTAACCTGAAAGTATCCTGAGTGCTTGACATTCCAAGAGAGATAAGATCATATATGATCAGACAATTGATAAGTATGTACAAAATGTGTAAGAAAATACATGGTAATAATTTTCAAATGAAGTACAAATTGAAGAAGGATCGATCACAAACAATCTCGATACTTGCAAGAGATTGGAAAAGGAACAGGGGTGAATATGCATTTTTGAAAACCATTATCACATCAGAAATACCACCACCAAAAATAAATAGCACAGTGAACATTACCATGGATCGTTTGGGTCATTTTTACCTGTGTGTTTCTGTTCCTCTAGATATTGTTGATAATCAAGATGATGTCTGGGGAAAGATGATCTCGCTCGATCTGGGTGTTCGTACGTTCATGACTGGTTATGATCCCGAGGGACGAATCGTCAAATGGGGTAACGGGATCTTGATAAGATATTCAAATTGTCAAAGAAATATGATAAATTGCAGAGTGATAGGGATCTTGCTATGGGACGAAGGAATAAACGAAAGAGATTTCGATTAAGAAAAAAGATGTTTCGTATCATTCGACGAATCCGTAATTTGATTGATGAATGTCATCAT